GATTAATAAAAAGCACATCTAATTAACAGAAAATTTTCAAGAAAAGAGGATAATTCAACTTCGAGAGACTTACTTGAAAGAATCCAAAAATCTCGAGTGGGTCTGCTCAATTTCCCAAGATTTCAACTGTGAACCAAAGATCTGTTCCAAAAAAAGAAAAAAACATGTCAATTCAAAGAAAACGAACCCCGAATACTTCATGCACATCGCACAAAAAATATATGTGAAAAAAAAAACTACAGTGACGGATTTCGCGGGAGATTTGATTATGTCCATCGGTAATGAAACAGTGGAAGATGAGAATTGAAAGACAGCCTGAGACATTATAGAAATCTTTCTAGCACTTTAAGCCTAGTGAGTGGTGAATCAAGAAAATGGTAGAGGCACAGTTGGAACGCATATAATATATAGATCTTTTGATTTACTTTTTCTAATTTGGTTGGTTGGATCAGTGGACACATGTTCTTGTTGTCCAAGAAAGACGGAGAAACCAATGCTCTTTCAATTCGGAAATTAAGAAGAAAAAAAGGCGATTTAGATATTTATGTCACCGAACCCAATGGACTGCGATGAAATCGATGTAAAACAAAGTGAAGCACATAATGCAAATATAACGGCTCGTTGTTTCAATCAACGGTCACCGTACATATTTGGAAATTGACCCAAATGAATTACTATTACAGAGAAATCCCCGACCCAGGTAAAAAATGAAAATGGGTCTCGAAACTTTAAGGGCATGTTCTCCTTACTCTTTTCAGGCCATTTTCAGTTTTCTAATTTTTCGAAAACACTGAAAACATGTTTACTTATCTATTTTCAGAAACGAATTTCCAAAAACAAGTTTAAAATTTACAAAGAAAAAGGAAAATGCCAAAAAAAAGTCGTTTGGGCTGTTTTCCGTGAAAACCAAGCCAAAACTTCATTTTTTTTTATTTTTAAAAGCAATTTTTCAAACTGACAAAAAGAACTCGTTTTCAACAATTTCAAAATGGACATCCAAAACACAAAACTCAAAATGAATTCAAAACTAAAACACAAAAAAAACAACCTTATTTTTTGAAACCACCATCCCTAATGTTTGAAAGATGGTAGCAAGTTGCCCCAAAACGATCATTAGCTCAATATGAATATTGAGTCATTAAGGATCCGTTTAACATGACATTCGAGAAGTCAAAATGAAGACTAAATTACTTTTTGGAACACCGTGTCACTCTTGGGTTAACTGGATAGTCTAAATTCTGATTGAACTATCTCGCATCCAATAAATGGCATGACAAAATTTTCTGGTTTTTTCTTACCTTAAGAAGTCTTCTCTTCCCGCATATGCTGCTGTGATAAGACATTCTCCGGGTGGTCGAGACTTTGGAGTGATTTGGGTGGGAATTGAAAATTTAATGCCCATTTGAGGCGATAACGTTGCCAGATAAACATTGATAGGTACATGTTACTTTTTTGTTTTTATTCTCTTGTGGCTGAATAAATAAGTTGAGTATAAGATTTAATATATATAATTTAAATTACTTTCAAGCCTAAAAATATCGATGGATCTATTAAGTTCATCAATAAAATCAAGATTTTCACGACCAAAAAACTTACATATCGTGAAACATGCAAGTAATCTATACTAGCATTTTTAAAGATGCTTTCACATCACATTATGTACATTTTGATACGATGTTTTGATTAGACCACATAAAGAAACACTACAACCATTTTTATATATTGTTCTGTACTATCTAATGCACCTTGCACGACATACCAAAAATTCATAAATGAATCCTCGATTAAGGACTCGTTTGACAAGGTTTATGATCTTGCTTCTTGAGGAAATTACCTTAAGCAAGCTTCCTTTTCTAACCAAGCATTTTCAAAAATTATAAAAAATTGTTCAAAAGCAACTTCTTAATCCAGGGATCCTAATCCAACTTGATCAAATCCGAGATAGTATATCCTTTTCTAACCAAGCATTGTCTTCCATAACTTTAGTACAAGGATGGGAAGGTAAAGAAAAAGGATACCTATTGTAGTCATAATTGTTGCCCAGGCAACAGAGACAGTATTCCGTGAAGTTCATAACTGTTCTATGATCTAGAAGTTTTCAACACTGAAGCCTGAGAAATGTTCATTTGAACACAATTACCACATTATAGCAACAGAAGATACTATATACAGTATCACGAAGCTGCAATACTATAATAACTTACTTCAGTTCTGGCGCGGTTCAGAAAAATCATGCCTTGGTTCTTATAAGAATTGCAGAATGCAATAGAATAGCGTGGCAATGACAAGTATTTTACTACAAACAAAGAAACTATAAGTAAATAAAGGACAAGAACATTACCGGGTCAATCCACGAGATTTGGTGGCAAATTAGTAGCCATTTCATGCTGGTTGGATAATCACCATCATAAAACTACTGGTAACAAGAATGGTACATATAGAAGTAAAATATGTAAGCATTTGACCTGCATCCTGTACATGAGGAAAACTTTATTATATCGAACTACCTTCAGTAGCTGGAGAACTCAAAAGACTATGAATGACAGAGAAAGTTCCTTCTCTCTCTTTCTTGTCAGTCTTCTAACTTCAAACACAGGGTTCAATGTTAGCTATCTGTGTTGATGAGAACCATGTCAAATTATCGAAGGTGATATCCTACACAGCCCAACTGTCACCAAGATCACTAAACATGCCAAAAATTAATAAATAATACTGCCCCTGTCACCGCCTATAAAACATTGTTGGTCAAACTGACATGAAACGACAGTGGCAGCACGATGAACTAGAATCCACGGCAGCAATAGGTAGAGAGGCCAATTAACACTTTCTTAAACAAACAGTGGTACTAGATGGCAGCGATTTAATTAGTAAATCGGAAAGATCTCCCTCAGTTAAAAACTAAAACCGATAAGGATTTCAACTACCAACAAGGTCGGCAACAGCGGCACAAGGATTTTGAACCAAACATAAGTTATGGTGGACTTCAGCAGAATAATCAACCGACAATATTAAGATTAACAAAAAAAATATCATTTGTTACTCACTCTAATACCACATTGAATTAAAATAAAGCACTAATAATACCACACGACATATTATGTTTCGTCAACGTCCATGGGAGAAAGTGTTTTATTATGCGTAAAATCATTTACAGTAGTCACCTCATATATATAGCTACACCCTACGGCCTGCTAAGGAAACGAAGCGGTATGTGGAAACAAACAGTATATGATAACCCTAATCCTCTTCAGTCCTCTCTCCAACACTCAGACTGATGATAATGTCATTATGAAATTCAAGCATCATTTTACCCACATAAGAAACAGCAGAATTACTTGAATCTAAAGAATAGCAATATCAAGTAACTGAACTCCAGGTTCACAAACTACCAACAAGAACTTTTCAACCTTTCTTAACTGACAATGAAATCCAAAAGACAAGGAAAAAAGCCATTATATAGCCAGAAATCAACAGGAGAATTAACAAAGGCATACGCGTGAACGCCTTCAATGCAACTCTATGATCAGATCCACGAGCAACTACTGTGTGCTGCATGACATGTCACTCAAGGAAGCATGTCTCCATAGTTGACATATATCAGATTAGAGAAATATATAAAGGTTACATGTAGGCATATAATTTCCTCCCAAGTAGTGCTCCTTGTCACTTGAGGCTATCTAAAATTATGACGACAGAAAAAGAAGTAACAAAGAATATATCCAACTTCGATGTTATATGATAGAATAGATGCTGAATAGCACAATATCACCTGTGGTAACTAACAGAAACGCATCTGTCAGAAACAAAACCATGTTCATCATTCTGTTCAATGTGCAAGCAGCTTCTTTGCATCATAAATTGAAAGAGAATGCTGGAGCAGGCTCCAAATCAAATGGGGATGCAGAAATCAGTGCTTCTTTAATACAAATTGTACAGGTAGCAGATAACCTATCATGCCCAGAAAAATCAACTAAAATAAAACCAGTAGCATTTGTACTCGGAACATAAAAGAACAACAGAAGGCTCTTCCTCCAAACATGTTATTCAGATCCAATATTGCATTTTGTACGAGTAGAATAGTACCTGAACGTAAGCAAAGTGAAAAACATAACCCAAAACCTTTACCTGTTAACAATCCCTGTAGATTTTGTTCAGTCTTACTTGGTCTTCCATAGCGAGAAACCAGTAGCTCAAAAAGCAAAGTGAAGTACCTTCAAGACAGATCAGTTCACTTTCGGCCATTTAAAAATAGAGAACAGGAAAAATCGGCATAGCAATTTCTGTTGAGAAGGGGCATAAATGAAGGCTTTACATATGCTACACAGTACACACTTTTACTTATATTCTCTTTCATGTTGAGAAGAGGTGTATACATGCAACATTGACTATCAGAAACTTCCATACTTCCATCACATATTACCTAAATAATCTAAAATTCTCAATTCGAGAAGAAATGTGTGATGTAGAAAACGATCTCTAAACATAACTGTAAAAGATTGATTTAGCAAGGCAATTACCATAAGCAAAATAGTATGAGCCAGGAAAAAACCTCTTCCATTTCATATTATAAATTCGGGTAGAAATAAAGATCATAAAAACGACTTATATTTTCAGTTAACACGGATACATTTTCACTAGGTAGAATGGCAGTGAAGCTGAGTCCAGCTACTGTCATAGTGCTTGAGACCGCCAAAAACAGGTTATAAACTCACCAAAAATGGTATTCTAATTGTAACAGCTATAGAACGTATCAGAAAAGCACTACACGACAATGTATACATTAAATTGATAACAGCAAAATTATTAAGAAAATACCAAAGTTTATCTACATCATTCATTACAAAAAAGCTTAATTCACAACAAAAAGATTCTTACATCACAAAGGAGCCTCGACAATCCTGTCGGCAAGTACAATTATAATAAAAAGGAGTTGTGTTTCACTAAGCAGCCTCGACAACCCTGTCATCAATACATTTGCAACAAAAAGGAGTCTTGTTTCATTAAGCAGCTTTGACAACCTTGTCGTCACCTACAACATTAAGAATTGGAAGACTGTTTAGGAATTCATCAAGACCCTCAAAAAACCCAATCCCTTCAATGTTATCATCCTCCCCGCGTCCTGGTCCATTTTCCTGGTTCATGCTTGGTGCAGTCTCCTCGACTTCATTGCTAAACTCCACATTCAAATCCAACTTCTCAAAATTCTTCGCAACCGCCCCAGGTCGCTTCCGAGCATTAGCTGCAGCTCCTCCTTTCTTACTGGACTCACCCACTGACTTATTCGGCGTCTCACTTCTTTGAGGGGATAAAAGTTTATCTTCTGCATTCGCATTTTTTGCTTTAACTTGTGCAATCTCGTTATTTACATTCATCCCTTTCTTGGGCGTCTCACTGGCACTCTTTCCTTGCGCATTCATCACTTTATTCTTCTTTTTCGATCTATCATGCAGCCAATCAACATCGGATTCACTTGAGTCTGAAAGTTCCACAAAAACCTCATCATCTTCAACATATACCCTAGGAGCCGAAGCCTTCCGTTTACCCTTTTTGTCCACATCATTCTCATTCAGCATTTTAGGGCAAGTAAACATAGGCGAAAATGGGGTCCAAATTGAAGCCAGATTCCTATTTTTCTCCATATTTTCCATTGAAACACCCAACGGAAAAGATCCCCAGCAATAGAAGTAACCCTCTTGCCCATTCACAATTGGCGGTGGTGATGGAATCACAACACCCTGAAAGGCCCTTTTACAATTCTGACAGAGGAGGGTACACTCCGCATACACCCCAGGATACTCATACATGTGATAGCAATAAGGACACGAAGTCCAGAAAGTAGAGCCACTGTCATTTGACGGTACATCCACTCTCTCCTTCACCACCTCCTCCTGTGTAACCATTCTCTCCACCTCTTGTTCATCTTCTCTCGCATCTTGCACATTCTCATTGGCATGCACATTAAGATTTGACCCAGAAACAGACTGGACATTACCAGTGAAAGCAGGGTAGTTTTGCCGTCGCTGCTTATTCAAGGGTTCTTGAGTCGACACTGAACCAGACTCAAAAGCTATATTAGCATCTGAAGTAAAATTCATGAAATTCTGCGGTGGATACATACTTGCTTGTTCTCGAATTCCCCCAGAAGCTACGGGTTCGACCGGTTGCGCATGTACCTGCACTTGATGGAAACGAGTCGCAGCACTGCTGCTGCTGCTGCCACCATGAACATGTGGTTGAGAAGCATGAGAGGGATCATTCACACTACCAACACTATTACCCCCTAAGAAAATGAAGTTTTGCTGCAATGTAGGGATGCTCAGATGTTCCCGGGGCACAGACAAAGGATTAAACGGGTCGGGCTGCGGCTGCATATAGAAAGCTAGCTCCTTGTCGTACAAAGCTTTCTTCGAAGGATGAGAAAGCACAGTCCAGGCTTCCAGCACGAGGCGGAAGGCCTGGTCAGCAAATGCGAACTTATTCTTATGCGGGTTTAGGAGGAGAGCCAGGCGGCGGTACTGCGCCGCGACGAGCTCCTGGTCACTGCCCTGCTGAGGCGAGACCTGAAGAATCGAATACCAGTCCTGCAGGTTGTTCCCGATCTGCCGGTCTCCGGAGAGGAGCGTGTCAGCCACAGCTAGAATCTGGTCGGCGGGTAATAGGGTCGGGTCAGAGTCACGCGCCCGGGTTGCAAACGACTTACTCCCCATCAGGTCACGCTTCGAAAGAAGCTTCTCCGCGATCGTCAGCCACCGCAACGCCTCTGCCCTTGTGGTGGTCGTCGGAAAAAATGGGTGCTCCATTTTTATCCTAATTTTTTCAGGAAATAATTATTTTTTCCTTCTTCTCCTTATAATTGGAGAAGGGATACTGCCATACTGGGATAGTAGTGAAAGAAGAAAGAGGGGAAGCAAGGATTTGACTGAAAAGCCCCCGCGTTTTAAGGAAAAAGAAGAACGAGGGGTAGTTGGGGAAATGAGGATAGAAAAGTAAATTAAATCAGTGTATGTATATATGTAAGTATAGGTCGTGACGTTGTTGAAAGGGTTTAGGCTTTGCCATGTTTCAAAATTGAAGACGTAATGTTACTGGATTGTGGACATGTGCAAAACGGTGACGCTTTACCCACCTTGCACAGTTTGTTATTTTAGATTAATAGCAGAAAATCTCCCTAGAAAAGTTTTCATTTGCAATATACCCTTCTATTTATTGAAAATCGCAGAAATCTCCCTATTTAAAACTTTTTTCTGCGAAAAATCCCCTCTTGTCAAATTTACCATTAAAAACAGTAAAAATGTCAAAATTAAAAAGTAATAATTACAATTTTAGAATATAAACTTTTTATTATTTTACATATTATAACTATACCCAATTTTTTTATATATATACCACCAACTATCTCAAATCTTTAAACTTTATTTTTCACCCCACCCC